TCCTTTGCGCCCTCAGGTGCTCTGCAGCGGGAACCCCGGGAGTGCACAGCTCTGCAGCGTCCTGGCGCCTCCGCTGTGATCGACCCGGGTCAGACTCCAGTGCGGTGAGTCCCAGCGTCCCTTTGTCTTCCGTGCACGCGTCCGCGTTGCACATTCGGGGTCCCCAGGCCAAATCCCTTAGGTCTGGTTTCTGGTTGATTGACAAGCCTTAGAGGAGCCCGCTGGTGCCTCTGGCACCCAGCCCTGAGCTCCCCTCGCCGTGGGCGCATTCTCTGCCGGGCGTTTGTGAGGTCAGTCCCTGGTGCTACCAGCCTGGGAGGCGTCGCAGGAAATGCAAGGCACGTCGTCAGAAGCTGGTACACGGAGCCCACAGCTTGTTTCATTTTATTTACTTATTTTTTATTAAATGTATTGGGGTGACATCGGTTAATGCAATCATATAGGTTTCAGGTGTGGGTTTCTGAGATGCCAGGTCTGTATGTTGCACCGTGAGCATGTGTTTCACTCAGATGTCCCACATAGGAGTGAAATCATAGGATTCTGAGCCTTTTCTGACGGTCTTACCTCCTCAGCATCCTGTTCTCAGGCCCATCCCTGTGGCTGCCAATGGCGCTATTCCGTCCTCTCTCGTGGCTGAGTGGTGCTCCTTTGTGCACATAGACGACGTCTTCCTTTCCCGTCCTCTATTGCGGGACTCGTGGCTGTTTCTGTGTCTTGGCCGCCGTGAATAACGCTGCCGTGAACACAGGGGGGCCTAGATCTTCACATATAAATGGTTTTGGGGATAAACCCAGGAGAGGGCCTGCTGGGTCGTATGGTAGCTCTGTTCTTAGTTTTCTGAGGAAACACCAGACCAGACCGCCTTCCACGGTGGCTGTGCTGGCCACCTTCCCACCAGCAGTGATGGGCCTCTCCCACATTCCCTGTGGGCCCGTGGCTCCCTCCCTGTGGGCTGGTGGCTGGTCCCTCCCTGCCGGCCGGTGGCTGGTCCCTCCCTGCGGGTCGGTGGCTGGTCCCTCCCTGCGGGGCCGTGGCTGGTCTCTCCCTGCGGGCCCGTGGCTGGTCTGGACCAGCACGGACAGGGCTGCCCGGAGAAGGCTCGGTGGGCTCTGCGTGGCTAATGTGCGGAAAGATGTCGGGGGCTGCTCTGCAGACAGGGTTCATGACCTTGCTCTCAGAAACATGGTGAAACGGAGCCCCTGTTGTTCCCAGTCCGCAGACCAGGAAGCGAAAGGGTAGGGCGAGGAGGTGACTGGCCCGGTGGCTGGATCTGCCAGGAGGAAGCTGACCTTGCGCTCAGGGGCCCAGCTGGAGCCCGGATGCTGAACCCATCGCCCTGCCCTCGCGAGACGCCGCTTCCTCCTCTTCGGGGAAGAGGGAGAGGCAGGAGGCGGGTGGGCAGCAGACCCCGAGCCACAGACCAGATCCACACCAAGCAGATGCTGGTGGGCACAGCCAGTGGAAGGCTCTCCTCTCTGCGTGCCGCCCGCAGTCCCCGCCTTCCCCACCAGGTGGCGCTCACAGCTCCTCTCCCCGCAGTCCCCGCGTTTCCCACCAGGTGGCGCTCATAGCTCCTCTCCCCGCAGTCCCCGCGTTTCCCACCAGGTGGCGCTCATAGCTCCTCTCCCCGCAGTCCCCGCGTTTCCCACCAGGTGGCGCTCATAGCTCCTCTCCCCGCAGTCCCCGCGTTTCCCACCAGGTGGCGCTCATAGCTCCTCTCCCCGCAGTCTCCACCTTCCCCACCAGGTGGCGCTCACAGCTCCTCTCCCCTCAGTCCCCGCCTTCCCCACCAGGTGGCACTCACAGCTCCTCTCCCCACAGTCCTGTCTGCACGCCTGAGAGGAACAGATGGCATTGTGGCTGCGCGGGAAGGAGCTGGTAGCAGCCCGCTCACGGGCCACCTCTTTACATGGAATTAAACTCATAAAATGCGTGAAGGCTCCATCAACTATGAAAACAAAACAATGACTGCTTTTCCCCTTCGAGA